AAATTACTAAGCTTTAAGTAGCTAATAAAGCTACTACATAACATAAATTATATAAAAAAAAGTAAATTAAAGTAAAAAAAACTTTAATAATTTAAAAAAGCTTATACTTAATAGCTTTAAAAGAGTTTAAAGTGCATAGTAATAAGAAAAAGGCAAAAAAGTAGGTGTAAGCTAAAGTAGGTAAGCTAGTTTAAAGGCGCTATAGATAGTGTAATTAGACTAGGCATAACACATAAATATATAAGTAAGAAGCAGAAGTAGTATTTAAATAATATTCTAAGCTGTACTGTACTATATAGTGCTAGAGCAGGTTGTTATAGACTATAATAGAGTTTGTTAGGGTAGGGTCTTAGTAAAAGTAAGCGACTTAGGTGTGTGAGCAACTCGCCTGTGAAGTATGTTACTATAAAGCTATATAGCTTTATAAATAAGCTTAATAAACTATAGCCTTTAGCCTACTTACTTATTACAATTTACTCTCTTAATTCGCTTAGCGTGCTTGCTTACATAGCAAGCTTATTAAGCTGGCTTACAAGCTGGCTTAATTGTTAAGAATCTTGTTCCCTTCTAGATACGCAATTACAAGCGTCTAAAGACAATGTTCTGTTTCTTCAACAGTAACATAGGCCGTAGCTATCTGTGGCGCGAAGGAAAACTGTTTTAATTTTCCTAGGCTTAGGGGCTGGCTGTTAGATTAAGATTTCCGTTTCTCTGGGACAAGTTGATGACCTGGAGCGTAGGCAAAATCACGATCCGCTTCATCCTTCGGGACAGGACTGACATGTGCAGTCGGTGCTTTGGTAAAGTGAGCTCGCAATCATCCTGAACAACGTGTTGGCAGAATAAGCCATGCTGAGCACTTCCTCATCTACTTCATCGCTCGACTTGCGGACAACAGCGAGCAGCTTGAGTACTAACCTAGTCAGTGCCATATCTCCAACAGAATCATGCAGAACATGAGAGGCGAATTCACCCTCTTCAAGGTGACCTAATTTGTGACCACCCTGAGGCCTTGAAAGCCAATACATCGTCTGCGATGCAATACGCCTATCCCACCCTCATGCATAGAGCCCCAATATGCGCCACCTGCACAGGCTCTTTGTATTTACCTTTCTAACGCGAGGTCCCAGTTTAGCGGACACGGTCGATTTATCCTGCCGCAAGAACATGAAGTTGCTGCTAGGGAAATCCAGCATACGTAAGGCGAATCCATATCCCATTAACCGGAGTCTCTTGCAGCTCTTATTTCTGCTCTTGGAATGAATCATGGACCTGCCCAGTGAGCCAGCTCTCAAAATATCTCTCCCCCGCCTCCTGTTACACAGAATGAAGGCAGCCACACGAGTGCCAACACGCGCCGTACCCCAATCCCCAATATGAAACGACTCTAATCGGCATTCTGACACAGGCCTAGCAACCATGCGCGCAAATTCTCTCCACGGCGGCTGAAATAACAGCAACAGGGTCCAGGCCCAGGCGTCCGCCGTGGCTCTGAGTATAGGGATCTCACCCTCGCCCCAACGCCAAGAACATGTCGTCATAGATCTAGAAAGTGTTCTCGCTCAAGCCTTTTACTATTTCCAGTGCCGTTCCCAGCAAAGCACCACGCAGGTCCGACACCAAGCCTCCCAACAGGTCGTACACCCAGAGGCCCAGACACTCCACACTCGCACCAAAGGAGAAGAAGAGAGATGTCAAGGAAGAGCCGGAGGCTCAGGTGGTGAGTCTGGTCTCCCCGCATCTCTTATTCACGCGGCGAAACCGGAGAGAGTGAAGCATCAGAGAGGCCAAGGAAGAGGGAGAAGAGAGGAGTGGTTTGGGGACTTGGAGATTGGATATTTGGGAGACAGGCTGATGCATAGGAGCGTTATGAAATGTTTGAACTTGGCCTTTTCTTTGCGTTTAGTTTCAAGAATAAAAAAACTGTGTCTATTTGATAGATTTCCTACGTTCTAGCGCGAGATATTTGTCCCAGTTGTTAATCCTTTCACTTGGTGGATATATTTGGCAAGCCTCACCAGCGACCTCTGCTGTTCCAAAATCCGGTCCTGAAGAAGTCAAGTCTATCAATGCTTTGATGGCGATCCCTTCCACATAGCCCCTTCACAGCCTAAACCCCCTTATCCATCGCTTTAATACCCTCTTGACCCCCTTTGAGCTCCGCTTCCTCCTGGGACTCCACCTTTCCCTTTGCAAATCCAACGAATCCCTAACATGACTCATATCGATCATATCCACGAATCCATCCCGCCCCTGACACCGATGTAGCGGCGAGAGTTCCAGTAGATCTCGCACCTTGCTCAAATTAATCGCATGAATGTCCTCCAGGCTGGAGGACGCCAATGATGGTAAGAAACCTTCAGTTTCAAGTGAGGCGAGCTGCCGGCGACGGAGGCTGTGTCGTGGGGAAGACTTGGGAGGACAGCGCGCGCAGAGAGTTGCAGTGGTTGAAGTCGTGCGCGCTGGGAAGGTGGATTTGGAGCGTTGCATTTTGGGTTGATGTGAATTTGGGTAGCTAGCAGGAGACTAGTTGAGGATGCATATATGTGATTGTGCGGACGTGAGGTAGTATTACTGAGTTTAGTGGTGAGTAGTAGTGGTGAAGAAAATCCAGCCTCTAAGGGATGGTAGCAAGGTTTTTGACCTGGCATTGTGCACATATTTACGTCAACTCAAAGAACCTTCCATGCGAATCACGCACCATTCCACGGTCCTCTGGGAGGCATCTGTTTATTGCTGTAATATCCTATCAATCGAGGGGGTGTTGGGAAACTTCGTGATGTTGACACGTGGGGGGCCCATGAGTAGTGCTAATATAAAGGGTAAGCGTTTTGGTTCCCCACACAAATGAGCCCTAGTCGCATTCTTTCAAGGCCAAAGAGACGAGGCAACAAGGTCCATTTAAGTACCACCAACCTATCAAAGAACAATTGGAAGCTATAGCGGCGGTTAACACTAAATGCGTACGTCTGCTTCCTTGCACTTTGCCCGAGCAATTTTTTCAATTCCATGATTTCTTGGCATAGGCACATTCATCGAGGGGCCAACCTCAATCAAAAGTACACGCACCTGCCATCTAGCTTCTAGTTGACCCATATTAGGCAGGCCTTTAATCGTCGCTTCTTTGACCTAAATATCCTCGCAAATTTGGCATTAGCATGGCCGCTGTGTCTTTCTCAAAACACTGCAAACACACGGTCGCAAATGGGTCCGAACCTAAGCATATTTACATAGAAATAATATATCAAAGGCGTTCAGTACTAGAAGGCTTCTCTGCGTTTCGAGAGAAGCATTGGACCCAACGAGTACAGGTGGCATTATGTAAAGTTACCCTTTGCCAAGACACGCTTGGAAGAGAACACAACGTAAGAGAAATCTAGCTTCCATGGAGAACATATCATGCCTATGATGTTGAATGATTTCTTGCTTTTTGATTTTCCAGCTTGATTTCGTAACCGTGGCGCATCACTGACTAGCACGCCAGCGCTAACACACCACAATATCGCGACTCAAGCTCAATTCGAAAACCATCTCAAGGCCATACTGTTGCTGCTGCACAAGTATATTCTTGAAATTGCACCCCTTGATTCTTCAGTTATTCCCCCTAAAAGGGTTAGCCATTTCAATCAAGCCTTGTTAGTGTGTTCCCTCTCCGCCAATTATGAAATGTCTTCGTGAGTAATTTGATAGTCCAAAAACTTTTAGAATGAACACGGAAGGGATTTCAAATGTCCATATATTAATAGCGGCCTGCTGTCACAACCATTCGGCTTCTTCTTACCTTATCTTGTGTCTTGCAAAACAACGAGGCAATCTTCACTTCTTCTTTTTCCCGCTTGTTCTTGCAATACAGTAGAACCAAAGCTGTCAAGTCCACGACACTAGTCAACTCAACCGACAAGCTACGACTACTATCCACCCTCTCTTAAACCACTATTTCCAACTTTTCCTTTTGCTAAACCACCTTTTTAATTTTAAGCCACTGCATTGCGATACTAACCACTGCGGCTACACCAAACTATGCAATAATAATAATGAAGGCAGCCTTCAACCCACCCATATATGCATTCACAATACCAGGCATTTCATCCTTCCTAAAAAAAATGCGCGTAATATCTGTTGCGCCTACAGCCAACACTAGCGCCGGATCAAGAGCTTACCACCGCTAGGCGCCGAGCAGATCTGCACTTCCGCACATCTTGTGAATAACAATTTCATTAGAGCGATCACTATTTATCATACCAGTGTTATGCTACTGCATCCTCATTCATTTTCGCCAGCACTATGCCGGTTCTCCAGCCACTTGATTAACTTGGCCATCTTGCCTTCGTACAAACCCTGATTGCACGCTTTGCTATACACGTGTTGGAATAGACCTGATAGCTTCGTAAAACTCACGACGCATTCAGGACATTTAAATGGATAGACCGGCTCGCTATACTCAGTTTTCAGATCGTCACGGTTGAGTAGTTCATCCCGATAGCCTGGATCAAGATATGCCTTCCACTGGAAACACATGGCCGCGGACTCGTTCAAGTGGAGTATATTAATTTTGGATGGGCATGTGCCGGACTCTAAGTGTAATATCATCGCAGGATAGGTGGGGAATTTCTGGTAGCAAGCGTAGCATTCAATCGACCGTTCCAAATGGACCATTTTATGCTGAAACTAGTGTTAACGTTGACTTGGAAGGACAGATCTTCTACTTACGTGATCAAGATTGCTAGCGTTTTGAAAATGCATCTCGCAAGCCTGGCAAACATTCTGCTCCTTCAAATGGGCGAGGTACTCCTGCGACCCAGCAACCCAGGCCCACCCTTTCCCATCATCGCAACCCTGACACACAACTCGGTGCTTTGTCTTCCGGTGATGTCCTATCCACTTGTCCCAAGTAGAACCATCGAATCCACAAATTTCGCACCGATAATGGCTAGCGGAATCATTGTAGTGCTGTTGTAGAGCCTGCTGTGACGGGAACTCTCGTTCGCACCGAGAACAGTACGTCTTCCTGTCCGCTCTGTTAGCGAAATAAGAACAATAGCAGTGATTGGAAAAATGCACTCACCCCATCGGGGCACATATGGACCTTTGTATGATCGCGAGACTGATGGTGTAGAGGAGGTCTTGCGTTAACGTGTCTTCCCCGCCCCCGCCCCCAGCTCTCGCCAGGCACCGTAGCTTCATAATCGTCCAATGATAACCAAGTCAAGCGGCCTGCAGCAGATCCACCGACCCGACCGGCGGAACGCCAGACTTCCAAATACTCCTGTGATCGATATAAATTCTGGGTCACGAATTCGTCTCCTTCTATGGACAGGGCTTCGAGATGGCTAAATTGGAATAAAAGAAGAGGCTGAGGAAAGAGCTTGCTCTCGAGGAGAGGAAAGAGCAGATGTTTGGACGATTAAAGGAAACTAGATTGCTTAGAGCAAGTTCCAATACGTTATGGGGTGGAAGCTGTTGAAGGAAATGAAGTCTGCGAAGGGATGGGTGACCAGATCACCGCAGTGGTATCGAAGACGTATGGATAATGTATCGAAAGAATTGGAAATGCTGGAAGTGATAAGTAGATGTTTCTGCAACCGGAAGTGAGTAACACATTTGCTAGTGCAGCGTTCTCGGACTGCTGACCACTCAGCTACAGGCTTACTAGCTACAAATTGGGCTTGGCTTGCTGACAAGGATTTAGATTACGCCTAAGACGAAAATGGCAGTTGGCGCTACTCAGGGTCGTCGTCCCGTTGATTAGAAAGTGCTGATCGGCGTTGCCATGCTGCATGAATCAGCCTCGGACAGCAGCCACAGGGCTGATATTTTCTCATCAGCGTGCTAGTAAGGTCTATACACTTGATACTACTAGCTTATTGCTACCATGATTGAGGGGAATTCGATAGTAGAGCTGTATTAGATGGACCTTGTGACGCTCCTTAGAGGAGGCATCCCACAAATGATGCGACCAGGCCGTGACACCAGCGTATTTTCGGTTGTTCGGCGTCCTAAGAGATTGCGAATAGCCAAACTACAGAACCTACTTGGGCACGAGTAAATTCGAATGCGTATGAGAAGTGCAGGCCGCTGTAAAGACGAAGTACCATTGATTCGGCTCGCTACAGAGGGTGGCTCGCGACACTAGGATAGACGTTAGCTGTTTTATTAACTATATTCTAATACACTGTTAAACAGCGGGACTACAAAGTTGCAGAAAGTTAGATAGGGTGGCGACTTGCTTGTATTAGCAGCTCGATTGTAAAGTACGTCATATTAATCAATTTATATATACTATACCCTCCACCCAATGGAGCAACGCCTGAGTCAGCATCCTGAGATGTACTGAAGTATGCCCAAAGAGACAAGTCTCAAACCACTAGTTAGACAGACAGCACAGTGTAAGACTTTTACCTTCTCCGTAGACAGTGCGACACACGCACACGACTCCGCTACCTGAAGTAAAAAAGAATTTAAGCAAGCAAGCAAGAAAATTGCCAACCACAAAAGCCCACCACCGTATTCCAAAAGTGTATCCCAACAGAGGAACTAAACCTCGTGCCCAAGTCCTCGAGCTATGCGGGGGGTAGCGAGATCTAGATCAGACAGCCGCATCACCCACATTGTAATTCCCGCTTCTATCGCTACCTAAACCATCTAAAACTTTTTGAATGGAAGACTAACCTCTAACGCTTTCCCCAACAGTCTATTGTGCCATTAAGGCGTCTCCACGGGTGTAACGTAACGAACAGAGGGCATGGGCAGGGACAAAGAAAAGAACCCAAGCCAGCAAAAACTGACAAGGCCGTCATCAACAGCCTTCATTCGGTGACCCTACAAACAAATCCACTTTAGCCATTCGCTACCCACGGGAAGATGAGGATGGCTCAGCTCAGCCAAGTGTAGGCGTATTCCGGCCTTTACTGCGAGACATGCTATACGGAGCCTATATTTGCACTCATTAGCCGAGTCCATTTATCCATTCACATTCCTTGATTTGCACCGTCCTCTTTGCGTAGTCCCAGATCGGAGTAATGTTGGGGGGAAGCTGGCTGGGGAAGTGGGATTGAGGACCGGGGAATCAAGGACTAGGAAGGACGGAGCTGGAAATTGGACTTACCAAGACTTTCTTCGCATTGCAGATCCTCCAAGCTAGATTCTTAACATTGCCATCTGCCTGTACAACTTCAGGTGCGAGTTCGATGCCAAACCTGTAATTATCTGTCATTAGCACTGCTATTGCAGAAGCCTGTGCTCGTTCATGGTAGTGGGCGAGCAGCAGCATTTTGAAAACTCACATCATCCCCACCGCAAACACGACCCGTTTAGCAAATTTCCCTTCTCTCTCGACTAACCCACCAAACGCCTCCTCCACCGTCTCCGGCGCAATCTCCGGATCTCTATCAAAACAATTCTGCACAACCGGCAACAGCGCTTGTTCAACTGGCCCTTGGATCCCACTAATCCCCCCGCCAATCCCATTTGCATTGGCACTGAGATCGAGTTCAACGTCCTCGTCATCGAATCTAGGGATACGGATTTCGAATGGCAGGGAAATGGCCATGACGTTGTGTTTTCCGTCGTGGTGATAGCGGAATTCGAAGACACCTGTTGTCCACCAGAGTTTGTCGCCGCGGAATTCCATTTCGCCAGTTAGACAATCGGCATCGGCATCGGCATCGGCATCGGTGTTGTCGCTGGTTGCTGGAAGGAGTTTGTCAGAGACGAGAATACCTTCTTCAGCACGTATAGAATCGTATACACCACGGTTAGTTGACACCCAACGGCCGTTAGAAGAAATGCGGGTGATTTCGCGAGACGCGTTGTCAGCCACCATATATAATCCAATCCAGTCTTTCTTGCCATGGTTAAGCGGTGCCCGCCAGCGGACCTTGATCGGGGAGCCATACTCAAACATCAAGGTCCTAAATTCGCTTGTTCGGATAGCGGGAGCTCTAGCCATTTCTCCTTCTCTGCCACCGCTCTTTTGGTACTCTGCCAACGGGGAGGAGAATTTGCCCGTGATTTCTACCCGGTAGTCCTTGGGGTCGAAGCCCGCGAGATCAGGGGCCAGTCGCGTGATGGAGATGCGTGCTGGGTAGGACTTGAAGAGGGTTTTGGTGTCTTTCACGAATGTGCCAACGCCAGCTGCGAGTTTAGGGCGCGCGGATTCAAGAACCTCTTCGATGAACTCGGCAGTCGAGTTGAGAACGCCGTCGGCTGCGGAATGCCAGCCCCGAATCGGACTCGGGAGTGATTGTCTTAGGGTCTTGCTTAGACCAGACGTCTCGCGGAGATTTTGGCCATAGAGCTTCTGCATATGTGGACGCTCAACAAACTGAAGGAATGCGAGAGAGAGGATGTGAGTGATTGCTGCCAGATAGAATATAGGTGCACTCCAGGTAATCAGTGCAAGACCCCAAATACCTGCCAGGCCGAGCACACGTTCAGGATTGTTCAGAAAGCGGTATATGCCCGAGTACGTCAAGTTCTTTGGCGATGGATCGAAGAAGAAGTCACCAAAGAACCAACCGAACTCTCCAAGGGAATCGTAAATGCTGATAACGGTCCACAACTGCAGGGCTATCAAAGCAGCACCCAGGACATGCCTCAGAAGGACCAGTCCGTAAGACCAGTCAGGTGGCAGCGCATACATCTTCCAAGCCGCGCATATGAAGCTAGCGTGGCACATGGTCATGCTCAGATGGTAGAGATTCTTCCATTGGCGCCAGGCCTCCTCCTTGCTGTCACCATACTTAATAAAGTGACGGGTCCAGTTTTTCTTCTGAGATTGCCGGTCCAAGATATAGCCCATGCCTAGCGAATACCATAGACGCCAGGCGAGAGCATTGCCAACGAAGAAGGCGCGGACTGGCCAAGTGTTTGGAGTCATAGCTGCGAAGCAGAGCATGTAGAATTGAAAGAGAATTACCGTGACATCGATGGCGCGATGGAAATCCATGTTCTGGATACCGATGATATTGTGCACTTCTGAGGGCTGTCCATTAGGGTCGAGGGGTGGTGCGCCGTCGGCAAACGTAGCCTCAGACTGGCTAGATTTTGGTCGTTCTTCGCTATTCACACGGTTGGAGTTCAGGCGCTTTCGGGGTGGTGGTGGGTTGTACGTCTTCTCGATGTGGGGATTCTCAACCCATGTCAAGAAGGCAAATTGTGCCGCGTGGGCAATGATGGAGATGAACAAGACTTTGTAGCTCGCTGCCATCATGGAGATGCCGTAATAGCCGGCATAGCCAACTGAATACATTGGATGCGGAGCCATCTCGAACACCCCATCGAAGGTAAGTTGCTGATCGATGAGGTAGAAGAAGTCACCCCAGTACCACGCGTAATCCTTGACTACTCTATGCGCATCCAGCTTGACCCACAGATTGAAGAAGAAGAGGATGATGCCCGTGGTCCACCGCGCAGCCGTCAGCATCCAGCTCTCGTCTGGGACATTGAAGCAGGCAATGGCGAAGAGGGCGTATGAGACGAAGTCACACATGAGTATCAGATCTACAACACGCCTGAAGAGGAGCCAAGTGTTGTACTCGAGGGGGGCTTCCTCGAACTTGTAGTCGTTTGGTATCTTAGTCTCCATTTCCCGCTTCAGCAGCCTGTAGAGGGTGGGATGCGGGTTGTTGCCCGTCTGAGGCTTCTCGAACAAGCCCGAGTTCTTAGCCCAGAGGACAAGGCGATTGTGATTGGACTGGACATTGAGCAGCCAGCCAATGCCAGCATTGTAGGCAGCTCGCCAGAACAAGAAGATGACTGCGAAGACAGGGATTCGGGCATTCGAGGGCAGTATGTAGAGAGTGAAGATCAAGCCTGCGAGCACTGCGAGGACGAGCAAATCGGACAGGTTCTTTGGCTGCGTTGGGGACAAGAGCTGCGAGACCATGTCATGAGTGTGCGGGACAATGAAGACTGCAGTGGGAGGGCTGGGGTTAGCAAAGCTGGGTATTTCTGGCTGGAACTGACTGGGCTATTGGAGGTGTTGATCTGATGCGGCTCGCTTCACCTGGGCCCTGGAGGCATGAGGAAACCTACCAGTGCCGTCTGGCGTCCTGCCATAGGTGCGCCTTTCCTTGCCATGCTTCTGGCCTTCCTCCTCCTGCTCATTTAGAAGTAGGACTCGCTGCTTCGCATTCTCTGGGGTGCCTGCAGAGCTCGGTATTGCGGACGGGCGCTCCCTCAGCCGGCTAGCGTCGGCTGTTCCTGTTGCTGTGCCTGAATTGAGTTTGTTCGCAGGGTCGGCCATGGTGGTGAAGAAGAGGTGAGGCGCAATTGACGGCGGGCAGATGATTAGTGAGGGGTTTGGGGGTAGTCTGGCACTTAAGCAGCCGAAACTAGGAACAGTGCCAGGACGCTACGCAGGCACTGTGCATCCAGGGGGGGGACGTGTGTGGAAAGAGGCAGGAACGACGCTGTACGGGGGCAGGTCCGCCGTCCTAGCCGCTGGAGAACCAGTTGCGGGAGGAAGGAGTGTAGAATGGGGGGGAGGGCAGAGCAGAGACGATGGCCATGGGAGTGTTGAAACCCCGGCAAGAGTGTTGAAGTGCGAAAACGGGCGGTGGGAGGGAGTTGTGTGCTGTCTAGGCAGGTTTGAAGCGAGGTTCGGCGGGTCTCTCGCCAACGGCCATGCCGCATTGCCGCCTGAGGCGCAGGAGCACGGCCGGGTCCAGGCCCGAACAGCAGAGGCAGCAGGAGCCACCGGAGCCCCTCCCAGACGAGCCACATGACGAAATGACGAAATGACGAAATGACGAAATGACGAAATGACGAAATGACGTGCTGGTGACGCCAGCCCAGTGTTTGACTCCTGTGTGCCTGTGTGTGTGTAAGTCAACAGCTGTGGATCCAATATTCATGTCGTGCTACTACGCGAGTACGCGAGTACGCCGCTACACATACAAGATGTCTTTGCTCAAATTCAACTTACAACAACTTCTCCAAGCAATCGAGGCAAAACTTCGGATGCGCAACAGGGTTTGCATGTGAAATTGCCCGTGCTCCTCACCGCGCACCCTTGCAAGCTCCTAAATCTTCCGAGCCAACTGTCCACGACCGCGGCAAACCAAAGCGACAGTCAAACTGAATGCTGAACTGCCGTTCCCTCATCTCTGCACCTGCTCTGTGTGTGCAATCTGTCTGGTTCATGCAATTTCGAGAGCTGCCCTTCGCCCCTGTCACTGTCACTATCACATCGAGTTAGTCCGCTCTACTTTCACATCCCTGGGAGCAATGTCATTGTTGCGAAATGTCCAATCCGGACCCCAGCTTGTGCTGTCGCGCGTGCGATCCACACTGGGCCGATTGTCCGACAGACGCTGGAAGACGTGGTTGATGGCTGCGTCTGAGAAACGCCGCTTCTGCACCTGTTTCGGCGCCTGCAGCCCCGTGATGCTGAGTTTGTCCAGCTCCACCACTGGCTTCTCGTCATCGTCGTGAATGCCGTGCGTAATACTGGGCTCGAAGGGCGCTGCTTCCGGACTGAGCGCAGAGTGCTGGTATTGGCGGTATGCCGTGTTGGGCGGCGCCGGTGGTAGGGCAGAGAGGGGTGCTGGGGGAGAACCGCTGCGTGGGGGAAGCGAAACCGTCTGCATGATTAGACCGTCGATGTCGTGCTCCTCGACACACACTTCTGGTAGGATCTCGTTCAGTACTGTTAGTTTTTCGCGTCGTTTGCGGAACGGGGTCAAGTCTCCGGCGTCTGTCCATCCATTCCAGACTATGTCCGTCATGGTCATCATCGGAATCGAGCATTGGGAGGCACTAGGGCTATGCCCCGCCGCCGCCGAGGAGTTGTCTCCTGAGAAGACGATTGCCTCAAGGGTGTGGATATTGCTGATACAGACTTGCAGACAGTCCAAAATCGTTCTTTCCTCGTTCTCGCAAGTCTTGATTGTCTTGTCCGTTCGCCACCAGTTGTGCAGAATCTGCTTCTTCTTCAGGCGTGGGCTCGGATTCAGGCCCAGAGCACGCTCGATTCGAGTCTGTTTGTCCCGTAAAGCGTTGAGCTTGATACTTGTCGTAGACAGCAAGCCCTCGAGATAACCCCTCTGGTTATGTAGGTCAATTAAGGTCGATGTCCATACACCATAGTCTTGGGTAGCTTGCATGTTAGACACAAACGCGTCAAAGTATTCAGAGAGCCGGCGTGGTGGGTATGGGTTGACAGGTTGCATACCATGCTCCACCTTTAAGAGTGTGAATGGAAGGAACGATGGGGAAGGAATAGTGCTGCTCAAATTTGAGCCGACAGTTGCAGAAGTACTTATAAATCGCAGCGAAGCACTCAAAGAAGTCCTTTGACCGATGTCCACATAGAGAGACGCACTGGCCAACTTCCGAAGCTCGCGGACGTAACCGCCTTCGGCGTTGCTGAACCCTGGTCGATTCTTTGAGGCAGAAGCGGCCGAGTGGAGCACTGTTCCTGGTATTCGGACGTCTGAGCCCAGTTCCTTTGTCATATCTTTCCACGTGGCTACGGCATGTTGCGAGAGAATAGTGAGAGATGGGATTCATCCAATCAATTGTAGCTTGGGGGTAGCCCTATCTTCGAGAGTAAATCATCAGGGACAGGGCGAATGGTCGAAGACTCGAGCTTCAGTACGCCAAGATATATGTACATGCTTTGGATACCTACCTTGGTCAAAATTAATTTAAGCCGGATGACTCTTTTTGATGCCCTGGGTTTTCTCTTGTACCGATGGCTGCGATGGGATTAGTCCACAAAGAGTGAGCTTGGGAGATCGTCGATCCACCTATAAACTGAAAGAATGAGAGGCGAGATAAGTAAATTGAACAACGCAAAACCAACCCACAGGCTGATCCACGATCACACTACGACATCGATGCGAGTGGGGGGTTGTGACAAAATTTGAGCCTCTTCCCGTAGTGCTGTGAAGGAGATGGATTTGTGAGTGAATCGATTGCAGAGAGCCTTGGCCACCGACTCTGTTCTTTGCTACTGTCTCTGGGACTTCGCTATTCAAGTTAGCTTGTCTGATTCGACCATATCGTTGAACAAAGCGGGGCAAACTGGTGGGCGTTCCCAGTCCTCGGTGGGAATTTCAAATAATTTCAATGCGCCGCCATTTGGCTTGTCATTTATCGCCCCGGGAGACCTCAGTGTACCTTTCTTTTGCACGACCAAGTGTTGAATTCAATCAAGATCTTGGGACCTGGATATGAGCCGACCCAATTTGCAGCTAAGGCTTCAAATAGAAATATTTTCAACAAATGGGGAAGAGCAATGCTTGGGCTCACCCAGCAAAGAAACGGGATGGAAAGCTACCAGGTGCTCGGAAGAGTACAGCAAGACAAATTAGAACTCCAAATAGTTTCGGCGACCAAAGTCCTGTTTGAGAAACTTTCCCCCCTCAGGCTTCACGCCTCGCCGGTTTTGCCAAATCTGGGGATTGAGACCTAAGATTAGGTCCAGTGCTGTTCTTGGACTTGTTCGTAATATGAACTCCGGCCCAGCGAACAAAAAGCTTTGACGAGCCCGTGAAAGAACAGGCAGGGGAACCGTTCCTCCGGATTAATTGATGCGAAGTTATCAGCGGCCAGGTAGCAGCTCACTAGGGTGCGTAAGATTGGTGACAAATTAGCAGGGAGAGCATGACTACCGTAGGCACTTCAATCGGAAGGAAGTATATCTCCCTCCATCCACAAAACGGGGTCGTGATGGTGAGGAGTTGGTCGCTGCTTCCGGCTGCTCAGCGAGACAAAGCAACCCGAAGTCGATGATACCAGAGGTCTCATGATCGTCCGTGAATTGCTCCAGCTTGATCCATCAGCTTCAAAAGCAAGTGCAGAAGTCATAGAAGCATTCCATGATGTGGGAACAATGGTGGCGATAAGAATTTGGATGTTAGGTCTTGTTCAGGAAGGAAGTTGCGAGACGTAGCTCCAGGAATCTCTCTGCTAGACCCTGACGGCGAACACAATAACTAAGCTAGGAATCGCATGCCTTTGATGACAAACTAGCAGCTAAGTTAGCTACCGCAGTGTTTCCGAATCAGTGTTCTACATTTCAGGAAATTGTTGGTGAAGGCAAAAGCTACACTGTACTCCAGTACCAACTCAATACGGCAATCTCAGAGTCCCCCAGCCGAGAAAAGTATCCAATGACGTGGACGAACACCATGCGGCTGCCTAGAGATGAGTCGAAGATGCACTGTCTCTCGCATGAAGATGTTGACTGAGATGCAGTCAAGGTGTTGAGTTCCGTTATCTCAGCTAGCTCAGCCGGCTAATGAGAGAACCGACAACGCACATACCACCATGCATACTGCTACTCCTAACAGAGTATAACCCAGGGTTAGTAGTTTTAAACCCCTGCAACTAACATTTTCTCTTATTAGCTGTCTAAAAGACTTTAGTAATTTTTTATGTACATAACTAATTTTAACTACTTAAAAATAAAGACATAATTTTAGATAGTATAATAAGTATATTATACACAGACTTTAAAAGTTAATATAACATATAAAACTTTAGTAAAAATATTATAAGTATATTTTAAATAAAATTTAATAATGTCTAAGGTAATTTAAATCTATCTACGCATGTAATGTAACTTTTTTTATAACTAATTTTATGTGTTACTTTAAACTCCCCCTCTCTCTTATTATCTACACTTATGTATTATAAGGCACTTATATTTTAAGTGCTATTTATCTTTGCTATTATAAACTACTTCTAGCTTCTAAATCTGCTAATTTTATCCTATGCATATAGTTCTATTATAGTAGGTAAAATAGTACTAACACTTACATAGTAAGTAGTTTAGACACTAAATATTATAAGTATTTTTTTATATATTATTTATATGTTTATTTACACACTTTTTAATGTGTACTGCTAATTATTTGCTGTAGTAGCTACTATGTAGACTAGAGAGCTAGGTTAGCGCGCAGGGAATTAGAGTTTAGGTAGAAGGCTAGCATAAGTACAGCTTACACTAAGTCTTCTAGCTGTCTGCTTAAAAAAGACTACTTATTTAGTGCTAAATAAGAACTATGCAGTGCTAAATTAAGTATATAGACTAGCTAGTGTAATACTTTTTTATGTTAAAGCTTATTATACTCTAAGTGCTAATGCTTTATAAAATTTAGTATATAAGTGTTTTATAAAGTATAATGTCTAGTATTAAACGCTATTACTTACTTAAGCTATGTAGAAGTTGTTAGGCAGTAAAAAGCTACATAAGCAGCAAGTGCGCGCTGTCTATTAGCTTATGTATAGCCTTAGGGATATAATTTTTGTAGCCTACACTAGCTTTAGAAAGAGCATTGTTTTACATGTGTATTCTATGTTTATAGGCAACATTATGCTTTAGATTATACTACTATTAAAGCTAAAAAATAAGTAGTTTAAAGTAATTTACTAGTATTCTAAAGCGCGTCTATGTCTAGTTACTAAATAAATAAAGAATGCTAATTTAAAAATATTTTAAAAGATCTAGTAGCTTTTATATACTTATATTTTACTAAGTCTAAAGTAAGCTGCATTACTAGCGTTCTAATAGCTATTTACTAACACTATATTCTATGCTTAGGTTAGGTTAGTAGCATTAAACAAGTGCTATGTTATATAATAGTAGAAAAATTTCTAGAAAGAGTATTTATAGTTTTATAAGCTTTAGCAGTGTTTATTTTCTAATATAATATTCTTTACTTATACTGCTACATTTAATAAGTAGACAGAAAAAGTAGTACACTGTTTTAGTAGCTTTAGGCTAGAGGGTCTAGAGATAGGTAATAATCTAATAAGCAGCCTAGAGGTAATTAGAACATGCGTAGATTACTCTAAAATTATGTACACTATTATTTTAATTAATAATTATAGTAAGAGCATGTATACTTAGCTTTTATATATTATTAATTATAAGTTTAGTACTACTAGTTCTCTTAGTAACTTAAAGCTTATTTTAAAAACATGTGTGTTTATTAATAGTTACACTTATATTACTAACTTTATAAAGCTCCTCTAATCTTGTCTTATGTTAGATAGACACTACTCTATAGCAGATGCTAAGAAGGTAGTCTAGGCGTATACTAGTTAGGTTGCAGATGTAGACTAGCAGGAGATATATTAAAATTTTAAAGGCGCTAATGCCTCTATCTAGATTGTTGTCTATACAACTACGCTTAGAATAGGTATAGATATCTCTAGAATTAAGTAAGTATACTAATAAAACATTTTAATTACCTAAGATATAAGTAATTTAATGCAGTAGTTTAGTTATAGCGTGTGTAGTTATAGTAAGACTATAGTTACTATATTATTTATCTTTTTTTATATATTTAACTGTCTTAGCACTAATCTAGATGCAAGTAATAGACAGGCTAGCAGCTAGGTAAAGTAAAAGATAAAAAAAAAGCAACTTATAAAAGTAAAAAATTATTATAAAATAAAGCCTTCTACATTAAAGTAGACAATAACTATAATGTTGCTAGATTAGGCATCTGCTAGTAGTAGTTAGACGCCTGTTACTCCTGCTGTAACACCTCTGCCTAGGTCTACGCCCCTACACAATAAACCTAAATTAGAGGCTGTAGAAAAGGGGGTTAAAAGCACTTTAGCTAATTTATAAAATTATGTAGTTACATTTTAGTATAATAAACATAAAGGTAGACTCTTTAATTAAACAAATAAATAGCTAAACTAATAGGCTAGCATTAAGCTTAAGTAGTAAAACCTAATTAACTCTAAGTATTATTATAAGCACTTACTTTAGTATTTCTAAAATAACTTATTTATATAATTAACACAGTAACTTTTTTTAGAAAAAGTTGCCTATTGCATAGGTTATAATCTAGCACTTATGCTATATTAAAGCGCCTTACCTCTGCCTGCTAAAAAGACTGCGCTAATGCTAAAAAGTAAGGCTAGCCTTATATTACAGCATATCTAGAAGATATGTTAGGCATTTGCTTTTTAGTACTTTCTAAAAGTCTATAATGTGTTTAAAGATAATATTTTAGTTTTACTTTTATCTTTAGTGTTTTTTCTATACTTAAACTAATAAAAGCTAGTAAGGCTTATTACTAGATAAAAAAATATTAAAAGTAATAAAGTTATAGTGCTTATTAAGTCTAGTAGGTATAGC